GCCCGGCCCCACCCGGGAACGGCATGTCGGCGACCGTTGATCGAGTGAGACGAGAATAAACGAGCCCGGCCGACCGAGTAACGACAGCTTCATAGATCAGTCACCTGGCTGAGTCATCATCGTTGGAATGAATCATCGCATGAGTGGATTCGGTCTGCGCCCGGTGAATAAATTCCACGGTTCTGTCCAATAACACTGATGTGGCAAGCGCGCTCCAGCCGATTTACAAGGTTCAATGTAGGCAATCAAGAGCAGTGAAGCATCGTATCCTAGCCACGGCAGAAGTCGTAAGTATTCACCCACCCACCCACATACACACACTTGTGCGCTTAAAATAACTTCGTGCAAGCATTTCATCTCCCCTGGCCCATTTCAACCACTCCAACATGTGAACAATCACTTGAACTTTTGACACTGCAATTAATTTCACATAAGCACACATGATTGAAGCCGGAGCTGAACCATTAGGACTCGAATCTACCATTCCCTGTTTGTTCTTCTTGTTAGTCATATTTAACGTTATGTAATGGCATGATTAGGAATAACGAACTTGTTCGTCACGATTTTCTGTTCTCCATGTGTTCTGTGGGACTAATAAAAAGTTTTAACACTGATTCCTTTGAACCGAATGCAAGTACCCATATATTTCTGCCACTGAACTGTACACTTGACAAGATACTTTACAGTGTACGAGGATTAACAGTATTTCATCTGAATGGCAGGATAATTAGCTAATAGAGATAGCATCTTTTCCCTGTAATTCCCGAAATGGTAATTGCTACATTAACGGCATCAACCTATCACCTGCAGCTTCTCGCTTTGTTACTCAGTTTCGTCGCATAGGTTCTTATCCTTGTTGTATAAGCTATGATACTTGTCATCTCTTTTCACGGCCTGTACGATCCTTAAAATTCAGTGAGTGAAAGGAATAATTGATATTTTTGATTCATGATTCTACAAAATGATGATCTTATCTGAAGGAACAAAGTTTATGGCGACTTGGACGTGTCGTTTCGCTCGTTACAACATCATACTTTGTCGCTCTTTTAAATAAAAATCCGAAATCCAACCAGCGTTTTGAAACCAATGAAACCATTGATTTCCATTTCATGTATTTTGTTTCTTTCGATTTTTACCGGAAACTTGAAAACTATGATAGTGCAGCAAATATTGAAACTGATGCCTGTGTTTGCATATATATGTTTATATCCTTACCAACGATGCTCACTCATCCCAATTCCTTATGATAGTGAATTCTCAACCGAAACACAGCAAACCCCAGTGTTACTTTCCCCGCCAGTTCCATCCTACGTACACGAAACTGAAACGTGACGAAACTGAACGAAGACTCCTAGTCGATGGGAATTCAACATCCTATCTCCTTGACCCCGAGCAGTTGAATACACCTTTCCTCTTTTTTTTCTAATCGATATAAGTATCTATTCAAGTTTATTGTAGGGAGCTTGCTTCCTGGTCAGAAATATTCCTAACCTGTTCTATTTTATAAAAGTTCATCATTCAATTCTACAAGGCAATAAATTAGTCACTGCTATAACAGGATAAACCGTTTGGATAAATCGTTTGCCTTCAGTACATTTATAGAGCCAGGACTTTGTCCAATACACCTCAAACGAGCCAGTTTTGCGCAGACTATTTCTAACGAAAATAACTTGGTTCATCCACATGCCGAGGTGGACTTTACATCCGTATCCCATATCTGAGTTTTCCTAACCAAACATTTTCTTCATACTTTATTCGTTACATAGTTTATGTCCAACCCCATAGATATTTTTCATATTGTAATTTGCCATATTTCATTCATTCCGCGGAATTCACAGGAACCGGATGACTGTTTTGTGCGCCAAACGAACACATGTTTCCAATACGGCTACGAGTACCTGGGCAATTCCGGTCGGTTAGTTATCACTCCCCTCACAGATCGGTGTTATATTACTCTGACCACCGCATTGCACTTGCATCGTGGAGGTTCACCGAAAGGTCCTGCGGGGACGGGGAAAACGGAAACGGTCAAAGATTTGGGAAAAGCTTTGGGCGATTACGTGATTGTGGTCAATTGTTCCGAAGGATTGGACTATAAATCCATGGGACGTATGTTCGCTGGTTTAGCACAGACTGGTGCATGGGGCTGTTTTGATGAATTCAACCGGTGAGTCCATGATTAAAAATCCGTTATACAAGACAGAGTCCTTATGTTATTTAGAAAATACACTCCACAAAACGTATCGTCCCTCCGCGGGTTAATATGGCAAGGGACGGATATTCCACTTCAGAACATTGATAGATTTTCTGTACGATAAGATTACTGAGTACCTCAACCTACTGCATTTGTGTTTGTATTTCACACGTATCTGAGTTCAGACTGTGCCAAACAAATCACGGCACAATAGTCCTTACAAAAAGAAAAACGTTCCATGATTTGTTCGAGGGCATATTACTTCTAGGTGGATTATCTTGGGGAGTTCACAACCGGAGCCTTCGGCTAGCCAAGGCTTGACCCGCAAATCAGCGAGGTGGTGTGGGGAAACCGCAATCCATTGGGGGCCGGTGTCCATTCCATCAGATTATGCACCCTTTGGGCGGGGTCAAATGCCCAAGGTGCCTAACACACCTCGATGCCCAATTGAGCCAGTGACCACTGCCACAACCAGAAAGGTGTGTATTATTGCCGCGCATGTATTTTCATTTGTCCATCCACGTTACGCCAGTTACAACTCTCACAAAGCGGGTTTCTGTTTGACGGATTCTTCAGTTGCTCTTAACTACTCTGCGCTGCTTTCGCCCGCGTTTGTTGTATTGTTCCACTTGAATTATGGACTGAAAGTGGTTTGGATTCACAGCTCATAGAATAGGCGGTCAAATGAATGAATCTACAATTATCTAACTTAGAAAATTTCCATGGGCAGTCTGTGTTTTTCTCCTGGTTTGATTACCTCCCACATCACGACATATTAGGCCCTGACCCGGTGTATGATTTACCCATTTCGTGCATTCTGCACCCCGTTTGGTGAAGCAGTTCGATTCACTCTCTCTCTCTCTTTCTCGCATTAGAGAACTCTCCTTATCTATCCTGACTGCATGAGGGGAAAATTCAAACACTTACACATGTTCCGGAGTTTCGTCAATAGATTATTTGTCCAAAAGGTCTGTTAATGTTTTGGGGCGGAACTGGCGATGTGGGTCAATCGAACTTAATTTATTTGCATCCAACGCCATTGTTGCTGTATTCATCATTTTAGATTTTCAATCACTTTTTCCTAATCAAAATCAGGATATATTCTCACTCGCGCTTTAGTCACCAGTGGCTATACTGCATCTCTTTTCGCCCGATTTCCCATCTTCACACCCTAGTATTAATATCGAAGTGTTATCCGTGGTCGCCCAACAAATTCTTTCGATACTGTCTGCACTTGCCTTGGCTGCTCAGTCGCCCAATCCAACCGAGAAGACCCGTTTCATGTTTGATGGCCGGATGCTCCAACTGGTCTGGTCCTGTGGTATCTTCATCACCATGAACCCGGGTTACGCCGGTCGAACAGAATTGCCGGACAATTTGAAGTCCATGTTTCGTCCAATTGCTATGGTCGTGCCCGATTCGACCATGATTGCTGAAATCACTCTGTTCGCAGAGGGATTCAGTTCGACCAAGGTGAATCCTTTGCTGCAACTATTTGACGCCAACTTATCAGATGTGGTTAGCAACTTCTCAAGCGTTGAAAGGTAGAACCAAATATTCTGTACTTAAAATCCCGAATTGAGCTCTGAAAGAGCAATAATCGTATTTGGAAAAGTTGAAACTGTTGTGTTCTTTGGTTGGACGTACGATCGACACGAGTGCCTCTTGCCTAGTCCCCAACAGTGATATGTAGAGAACAGCACTGGAGAACCACATTCAAAGTGAATTTTACCGATCATGACGCGATACGCAAATATAAATGGATAATTGGGCGTACGAGAACGCCGTGGTGATGCACCAGTCAGATCGGACCTTGACCTTGATTGGTTAATCGGACGGCAGCTGCCTGATTCGGAATCGATTCGCTTTGGGCATCGCAAGCGCAATTGTGGTGCGACACGGATCTGTGCGCGGCCTGACAGAAGCACGTTAAAATCTGAAAAAAAATTCGCAGTGATTTGTGTCAAATCACGGTGTTTTTTTACTGGCTTTCTAAACCATACGGATATGGTCAAATAATTGTATACTCGTACCGTTCTGAATAGAGCCGTTTACATAATGAAGCGGTTTTGCATCATAGTGCGTTTGAGTACATCGAATTTTGAACAGAAAAATCAGATAACATTGTCCCTAGGCCTTTGGTGACATAAATGGGACGTGTTGGAAAACCGGCATCATATGAAGTCCTTTTACTTTGTTGAAAATTTATTTTATTACCATTTATTTGTTATTTTCACAATTTGTCGATCAGTTAAACAGCGGAATCTCTGAACAACATTTACAAATTGGACCCTGTGGTCCGCGGTTCGAGCCCCGCCACCGCCACCCAACTTTGGTGGTAGACATCTTTTCTGTGACCCGGTTCTATACCACGTCTGAACTAGCGGGGCCTTATGTGGTTCGCCAATCCCGGGGCTTAGGGTGCTAGTTACCATCACTGAACAGCAGATCTTCGTGACTATAGCTTCCACCCCGTCTGCTATCCATCACACACCAGTAAAAGGAGAATGACGATTTCTCTCTATCATCCTATGTACTGTTTTGATTTTGCATTCGAACTGGTCACATAAATGTGTTAACTGAACCGATTGATAAGGATTGTTCAAATGTGTTTTTCTTTCTGTTTTCTCTAAAGGCCTTGGCGAAAAAAGTGTTCACATTGTACAGTCTGACTGTTCAACAGTTGAGCAAACAAGATCACTACGACTTTGGTCTGCGTGCTCTGGTTTCGGTGTTACGCTATGCAGGTCGAAAAAAACGTGCAATTCCTACTATGCCCGATGAAGAAGTTCTATTATTATCATTGAATGACATGAATTTGGCCAAACTGACATCAGTTGATTTGCCCCTGTTCAAAGGTATCATGTCTGACCTGTTCCCAGGTATCGAGGCTCCAGCGGTGGACTATACAAAGGTGAATAAAACTCTATTCCACTTTTTTGATCAAATAGTTCATAACATGTACTAATTAGCACTAAAATACCTCTATTCTATTGATCCGGCGAAATTGGGTCCAGTGGTCGCAACATACACCTCTGAATGGATGGTCGGATGGTTAAGCCGTAACAAGGGACTCTGTTCTTGCCCTAGCGGGACACATCTTGTTTACAGCCGCCAGTCTTAGTCAAGCCATGTGAACTTCGACTGTACAGTTAATCGTTTCCCCTTTTTCTTAGCTCGCGCCACCACCTTTTAGTTATCAATCGCGTTCTCGTGACCTGTCCGTGTGCAGTCGTTCCAGAATTGTGACCTCGGGTCATCACGTCCGATGGCAGGCTGATGTTCATGTCGGTGAGGGTATAGTTGTTTGCCTGTTCCAACTATGTCGTGTTGATTGCTGCCCAGGCACGCGTAGATTGCTCCTGATCGTTAGTACTGTTTCACTCGATCCTTATCGTAAAATAATACCAAAGAAAGTTAAAATGAGAAGGCATTTCTTTTCAATATATCGCTTCAGGCATTTACGTATATAGTTCGATTCGTCCATAGAATAATACAAAGCCTAGGCTGAAGTAATTTTCAATCTATGCTGTTCTATGGAGACAGTTTTTATTCACACTGGCAGATTATGCTCTCCGCGGCCAAAAGCTCTAAGAAGTAAAAGAGAATTAGCGTTCAAGATACATCAAATAGTCACTGTCAAACAACTTACATTGCAAATCAGGGCAGAGATCAAAAGACTGATTACTTCATTCGCAAAACAAGTTCTGGGAGCTGGAGATGGAAGGCGGCTATGGCTAGGGATCAAACTGAATACTTATAAATGCTTTGAATGCAATTTTTGGACTTTCCCGATCCGAATACCCCCTGGATCCCTCAGTCATCAATTCCTTACCCATCACCAGAACGCATACCACGAAATACCTATGAGTTATCATAGATAACAACCTACGGTGGTCTTCTCGTGTGCTTTCTTGTGTTGGTAGACTGCGTCGCTTATCTTTTCAAATACGTAAGCTACGACAATTTCGCGTCAAGCATGAAACTGTGTTCTTTTGTTTATCAATGCATTTTTCCTATCGTACTTTATTTTTCGCTCGTTATTTTCCCTGGTCTGCTGAGAAAGGACTTCATTAATTTACGTCGCGGTTTGGTGATTATCAGCCGTATTTCTCTTATTCCTTTTAACACTCTGATCACAAAATTGTGTAATTTGCATATCACTTCATGTGAGAACTTCGCTCAAAAGATACTCAATGACCCCAGTCATCCACTCAATCCCGATTTATCTGCTTACCGTTCCCACTCTTCAACCCGATCCAATTTTCGCTGCTTGCCCCCCCGCATAAACATTTACCGCAACTCAACGGTTCCCTATTTGGCTCGTATTCTCGCTGACACGATGAGGATCCGTAACGAACTAATTTTAAACCTACAAAGATGAACACCTATTCAAGTTTTATCATTGTTGCATAATATTTTCATTTCATCTTTTATCCCACTGTAACGGCGAACACATTTTTGATTGAAATGTTGGTACAGTCGCCCGTAAAAGTCATCTATAATACAATAATACAAAATAAGGAGACAGTAAATGAGGAGTGAGGGTTCTCACTGTAGTGAAGTCATATTTGGTAGCTGGATTCTGTGAACCATTCATCATTACCGAGCACTTCTAGCTATTTACGGGCAGTAGCCATAAGTTAGAACATGTTTAATCTTTTCTCTGGTGGCCTGCATGCTTATCCAAGGCATCAACGTAGGTCCAAAAATCTTCTCTCCTTTCTACCTGCTTCATAAAACATTGCGCCGGAAAATGTCTTCCCCCTTTTCAGATCCGCCAGCCTAGGTAATATTACGTCAGGTGCATGGGTTGTTTCATCCTTTGTTTACCAATGTGTGATATTCAACAACTGATACTGTACCTCCATAGTTTCCCTCGGGTTGACTGCAAGAACCCTAAAATACCGCGTTGTGGTTCAGCCATAATAACCGAAAGGTGTTCTGATCTCCTAATACTTACTAACTTATCGAATATTTTCACAATTTCTGATTGGTGGTGGCTTCGGTAATCACTGTTCTGAGAACGACCACGGTGGTGTTCCCATGATGAAACAATCGATTAATGCGACAATGGCAATCAGATTATTCGAAGACAGTTTGCATTTACTGCTTGTGAATGTCAGACGTTAACCTAAATTCACCCGGTTTACTTTGTGTGAAGGAGGTGTTTAAGTAATACTATATGCTTTCAGCGATAAAGATTATCGAATTCAGAGCCCATAATCCGAAAAGTGCATTTAAGAAACATTCTAATTTTTAAACCTGTATTTTCTTATAAAATCTTATGAAAATTATGGCATCTTTCGACAGCCCTCGTTGCGTTATTTCTATTGCAGTTAATTTGATAGACATATCTCATTCCGTTCCAAAAATATGGCAAAAATTGTCATTTTGATTGTCCATTGCTTGAAGGTGCCCCTGTGGTGGTGTCCCAGAGATGGATTAGGACCTGAAAGTGCCGAACAAACTGGATGTGAATCTGGCCCATAGTGATGTGGATATCGATCTATTTGTGTCCCAGTGCATCCGATTGGGGCGTAGTTTATGAATTCTATGGCAGCATCGTGCGATGGCGATAAGCAATGGCTCAAGCGTTGATCGCGTATGATTCATTGGTATCAGCGTAGGGGGACACACGGAGGCATATGCGCGCTAGCAAGATAAACAACCGATATGTATGCCATGAGAATTGAGGGGTGTGTGACTGAAGCTCGTCACACAACCGTCCCCCGCACTTCAACGGGAGGTAGAGAAGTCAGTGTTGCATGGTAGTCATCCAAATATCGCTGGGAGGCTTGTCAGCACCGGTGAGGTCAATGCGACAGCCTAAAATAATCGGAGGACATCTTGATATGATATTGGGACAACTTGACTTGCAAACGGTATAGAATGCGAACAGTTTATTTCCGAAAACCGAGAACGATCGAGGAGCTTAAACAGAGTATTGTGGCGCCGTGCGCAAGTATTCCAACTGCTACCATTCTTAAGGTGGGAAAAACTATCTTCGCCGTATTTGGCCATGCAAGTAGCAGGATGGAGAACATATGAAACAACTTTTATGATATGCATACATTTTTTTCGTATGATTTGTTCTTTCTTTCCTTCGGAATTATATCTCCCGCGAAAACAACCAGTTGGGAAAAAACAAGAAGTTTTGCGTGGGCCCACATTACAGGATATTGTTGTCCGTTATTAAGACAAGTTCGAAGTTTTATTATGATTATCTGTTTCCCAAAACAGGCTTCGAAAAATAGTGCGTGTATCTTAGACGAGTCAAGCGTTGGCTCAGTGTCATCATCGATTGGGCATTTTTCTGTCGGAATTTCCCACATGGTGCACCGCTCCACAACTGATTCTCTTGGGTTGATCCCCCACCAACAATTAGACAGCATCGGATTCGGAACCTATCCTCCTCCTGTGCCAGCCCGAAAATCACGCGATCGATCGGGTTCATTTATCGATCGGTCGAATGGTGCAACCGCAACAAGAAGGCCCAGCGAGAAACCACACCTTGTTTACAGCCGGGAGTTTCAGGCGGGCCCAGTGATTGTGCAGCAGGCGTGCCATCAGCACACGGATGGACTAGGCGTGACAACAAGAGCATTACAAAACGTACAAGCCGGTAATCAAATAGTCTCGTGTTGGGGTGAGGGATTTTAAGTGTCGTAGATCGCGGAATATGACCCAACGAGATAACAGAAAGGGTCAGAGGGAATTCATTTGTTTATGGTCACGGATAAGAGAGACGAGACAATGGTAAGCGCTGGAGCAATCGCACTGTACATAACGCAGATTCGACTGGTTTGACACTACCCCGCCGTGGTCACTCTGGATTCTGCCGAAACTGTTTGTTCTCCTCTGAACAAATCGTATTTGTGAATTAAGCCGCTTGATTTATTCTTATGTTTCTCGAAAACTCAGACCCGACTTATTCAACTATAGACCAAATGCGCTTTGTTTTTCATTACCAGTGGAAGGTCAAAACAAACCGTTCGACTTTCTTTCACCAGATGCACAGGAGGAGGAGGAGCAGGTTTATGTGTTGCCATAATGCTCTGCGATTGGACCTAGTTTCACCGGATTAAGGTTTAAATGAAGCATGGTTAGATTTTCTACTCAGTAGAATGTTTCCTATCTGTTGAATCACTTGGTAGACGAATAAACTTATGCGGAAAGAAAACCCCACCATAGTTATGAAGCTCGTGCATCCCACAAAAGAAGCTAATGCAAAACAAAAACGGTTTTGCGGTTCCTGTATTCTTTGTGGACACAATTCCACATTTGTAGCCAACAGTAATGCTTTTACAATTATCATTCGCACAGTATGACTTTAAAGCAATCTTGTTTCATTTTACCCGCAGATTAAAGCTTCAGTCGAAGGAATTTGTAAACAAATGAATCTGCGAATGATTCCATTTACTCTGAATAAAGTAGTTCAGTTGTACGAGACCAAGAGCTCCAGACACTCCGTGATGATTGTAGGCAAAACGCTCTCTGGAAAATCGACTACTTGGCGTATACTGCAAGCTGTGCACAATGAGATGGCCAAAGTGGAAGACAGCGGATTCGAGAAAGTTTTGGATTTCCCACTAAACCCGAAATCGCTTTCGTTGGGCGAGTTGTACGGAGAGTTCAATTTATCCACAAACGAATGGTCTGATGGTGTCCTGTCCAGTTTGATGCGTCAAAACTGTGCTGGTTAGTTTCATGTTCAATGTTATTTCGTTCGCATTTGATTTCACGACAGATGTAGGAAGCAAATTAATAGTGTTTGCAACTGTTCCCCAGTTCAACGCGCCAATGCCGTTTGTTCCAACAATTAGGTATTAATTGATCGTGCGCAATCATGGTCATATAGTTTAGAATCGCCTAGTTAGAATGGGGTTGAGTTCAAGAGGTTAGAGAATCTATCGAAACAGAGAACATACATGCAGCGCATTGATGACTGTGCAATACTAACCGTTCCGGACACAGCTTGCAAGAAAACAATGGACTTTAAAGAACAGATCTAGAACACAATAGGAATACTAAGTATCCAGTGTGTGTTATATAACGATGTGAGCCATATGAAATGGGGGTCACTATCACCGATTGTGATAGGGAGGGAGGTCTCACGAAAACAGTTACTGCAACGAAGCCATCAATCTGAAAAAATATGCAACGTCACACGTTTTTACAGAATCATTTTGAGTTTTATATGGTTTTATATGGATCACAATTTCGAGATTATTTACCTACCTGTTCACAATTATGAAATCTGGTGTTTATCGTGCATTGATTATGAGCAAGTTCACCGAACAAAATAACATTTTTAGGTCTCCGAGTTATTGAGGAACTGCAAGCATTTGCAGTGCCAATCCTAATCTGCATGTGAGTTGGTGCTTGAGATGTATTGCACGTGTTCCCTTCGCATTTCTTTGTTAGAATTTTCTGGCACACACAAACCTTGTCTTAGAAGCTCATTCGGTGGATTCCGGTGAATTCCAAGGAAAACCTGTCGGGGCAGTCAGCTTACATGCTGACTGGTGAATGCCACATGCCTCTATAGGTTGAATGGGTAAATTTGAATGTGAAAAGATCAGTGCAGCCGGTGTGGCCTCATAGCTCAGCTGGTAGGGCTTGCACGTACACAGCGTAGGCGGCGTCCAAGCGTGGGTTCGAATCCACCGAGGCTACTGAACTTTTCACAGTCGACATACAAACTTCAAATCTACCAAACAACAGTTTGAACATAAACCTGCTGGTAAAGCTGAATCAAGAAGTAGAAAAAGAGTAGTGTTTCCGATCAAATCGTAATCCCCGAAAAGTATTTGCGATGAACACGAAAAGATGGTATTTGTTCTGTTGCGTGCAAAAACGAAATTGAATTATACTGGTACAAACGCACACACTATTGGTGATCGTATCACGCCGAACTAAGCATGCATTTCGTTGTCTTTTTTACATCCACATCTCTCTCTGTCTAGACGAGTCTTCCACATTGAAGTGGATCATTTTTGATGGTCCAGTCGATACGTTGTGGATCGAAAGTATGAATAGTGTGATGGACGATAACAAGATCTTAACTTTAATCAATGGTGAACGCATCTCAATGCCCGAACAGGTAAGTTATAGAGACAGTTTCACATTGGCGTTTGGCTATCACCCCTGACTTCGCACAACAAAATTCCCCTCTGACCCTTACTGCTCTCTGATTGGTTAATTTCCAGTGGTTTGCGCAGCTGGTTAGCCTGTTTTTCATTTTAAAAAGTATTCGATATGGCATCACTCATCTTTCCGAGCTTATTGTGGGTATTACACCTCGTCCACTTCAGCACTAGCCTCCAGGGTTATGAATTGGCTTAAAACATTCAAAAGCTAATCCAGTTTCAGTTTCAGTGTTTACAATCATTAAACATGTACATTCATGCATCGGATTTGGTTGCCGTCACTTGACTACCCCGTTGGATGAAGTTTTAAGCGAGAAGGTAGGAACGTTCAAATAACTGTCAGGGTGAAGATAGAGAATTCATTTAGGTTAAGGTTGCAAGGAAATTGACTAGGTGCATGCACTGTTTACGACTCTCAGCAATCTTATTTGAGAGGTGATAACTGTCAGATTGCGAGCTACATTTTATGCATGTAAAGTCCAGCGAAGGTTACTTCGAAGTGAAACACTTAAGCACATTTGACTGACCCTGCTTTCCCTGAATCTGTACACTGTCGGAGGGAGATACAGATACAGATACCGACATGCTCTCTCTCTTGTGTGCACTCGTTTTTCTTCTTGGTTTTATTGATTTTTACCACCGCCCATCTAATACAAAGCCTTCCTTGCCCGTTTTCGAAGGTATCATTGCTGTTTGAAGTTGAAGATTTGTCCGTGGCCTCACCGGCAACCGTGTCCCGTTGCGGAATGGTATTCAACGACGTGAACGATTTGGGCTGGTGGCCATTTGTGAACTCATGGCTTGCGGCTAAAACGGATAAAATGCTGGTGGAGGAGACTAGAAGATTGTTTGAAAAATATGTGGAAAAGATTCACGCGTTTGTTCGACAGAATTGCCTCACTTTGGTCCCCCTGAGTGAGACAAATACGGTCATTTCGCTCTGTCGATTATTCGATAGTCTGGCCACTCCGGATGCATGGGTGAGTGCGAGCATATTCGGAATCCTCATTAGTTATTTTTGTACACTTGGATGATGAGCGGAGGTAAACATGAACGCGTGATTAAACCATTAGGCTTATTTTGTGAATCTCACATTGTGTATGCTCCCTCTGCCTAAAGAAACTCAATTTTTAATATATGTATATATATATGTATATATGTATATCGCTAAAACCGAGTGCTGGGATCAGTAAACCGAACCGAGCAGAAAGCCCCCCCATACCAAATTCTGCACAGTTGAGTTGCGAGCTCAAAACGTTCATTGAAGATGTCTGTCACGTTCAGAAACTGAGTGGTGTGGCATGAAAAATTTAAGAAGTAATTGTAGTGGACAATAAGTGCCAAGTTTGAATAAAAAAAGGCTCTAGGTATTTTGCTCGTCATAAACATATATCTATTTGGAGTTTTTTTTCCTTTCATTTTCCTTTCACTCAAGTATTTTAAATTGGAGTGTTGTGAAAACCTGCAGGCGGTTATTGCATCAGATTGTGCTTATTTTTTGTTCCAACGTGTGTTCACGCGGGTACTGGAGTGTCCTGCTTATCAGGACCTATCGTGATTGATCTTTTGTTGTCACACTGGGGTGACCCAGTCAGAGTGGATGATTGGGTGGTGTTAAACTGGGTTGATGTGAACGGTGAAATGGCAGCGGAACAATGCAAGTAAACCAGGCGAAGTACCAGCTTGCGTCGTGCATCCTACCCTTTACAGCAATCAATGACATCGCTGATTGACCAATTAGAGGCCCCAGGGTGTTTTCTTTTTATCCCTCGTTTGTCCCAAGTCTCATCTTTTGTTCGTCGAAAGAAACGGATAATGAAAGCCCGAAGTACACTGGATAAATCAGCTGATCAAAACCGTTCTGTACACGTTTGTGTGACGGACAGACCGAGATCATTCGGGTAAAAAGTGACTACATCATGGCGGGGCACACTCGTGGGCACTAACTCATTCCGTTCGTGTCTGTCTGAATCGGGTCACCGATTTTTCTGATTCTTTCAGACAGGCGTGCCCATCGGCTGGGGTAACATGATCCCGTTTCGACAACTCTGGTTGTGACTGTATTACAATGTGAACGTTATAATCAGAATTGAGACACGGCAGCGAAATTTGGCATCGAATATTTTCTGCGCTTGTGGCATTGGATTTCAATAGTTGATTGGATCCTTTTCACTGGTGGGGGAAAGTTGGGAAATGAAGGTACTGGCCGTGATTCATCGTCTGTGGAACAGCCATGATATCATCTCTCTCATTCTTGTGATGAGACTGAAGCTAACCACTCGGTTCTCTCGGTCGGTGGGTGGTATCGTCACCTATCTATTGGTGAGCTGTTTATCAGAGTGACCACAAAACTTACTGATACACTATCTTAGTGCCAGGTCAGGTAACGGATGGAGAGTTTGCTGACCAAAAACCATGTCAGATGAACCTTTCACTATCCGTGTTCCATATTTGGTGGGTTAGTCATGAGACAGGCGCTCTAATTTTTGCTGTACAAGTGAACACATCAGGGAAAATAGCAGGACGAGTATCTGAAAGTTGGCCCGTGAATGTAACACCTCCCTATATGTCGTCGCTGTGATGTCCCGCAAAGGCAATTATGTACCATATCCAACACCCTAGACTCAGATGCTGACATAAAACGATAAAGACAAAGGTTATTTTTGTGATGGTATCCTCAGAGAGAATGGTGTGATGTGACATGTGTGCATCGGTAATATTGTCATCTGGTTTTTCTATAGAAAAGGCAATCGATCATCGCAGATTACCGGTAATCTTTTAATGAATTAACAAATAGAAAAACAATTCAACGTCAGGTCTCTGATCGGTACATGAGGTAGGTCTGATGGATTGCTTAAAATCACGTAACAGGTGCATCAAAGTTGCGGCGTTGATTATATATGGGGGTGAATGAGTGGCGCATATAGCAACTACCGCAATCCACAGCAGCCTCAAGTCTGAAAGACTAAATAAAATGATTTACTACTGACTACTACGACCTGTGTGAGTGCAAGTAGGCGTTCAGTTTTCAAGTCAATGGTGCAATCTCTATCGTGGCCTGGATTGCCATGTTTCGGGATAGAAATTCTCGAATGAAAACAGGTTATTTACTCTTTTTGTTTGTTTGGCACTTAAATATAGCATTTTTAGTGCACCATGGTGCGTAAACCACGCAACCAACAAGTGACGAGTGTTAGGGCAATGTTGAATGAACCTCGTCAAGGAAGGTTACGGAAATCGGGAAAGTAAAATCAATCGAAGGTAATCAACGTGATCTCTTCTCCACGCAGATCCTGTTTGAACAGTATGGTTCCTGATTGGTCGGTAAAACTTACCCGTAGTTCGTTGGTCTCAAACTGTGACGCTTAGCTCCTTGGCTGGTATTACTTTGGAAGGTTGGTCTTTTTATTATAATTCTGAAACAATATGATCGATTATGTAAACAATGCTTGCTTCTATACTCATTCTGGGGGGGGGCTCTGTATGGTTTGAAGCTATCTTGATTGGTATGACCTTGTCTCGTGTTCTGACAGTTTAGAAAGTGTAATTGGAGCGAGTGGTCGAGCACTTAGGGTTAAGCATTGGTGCCCCATGAATTTTGCAATTCAAGTCGTC